TGCCCCTCACTCCCGACCCGCAGCCCCCTTGTAAATTATTTCAGCCAGGGAGAGAAGTTTCGTTTCCTTTATTGCTCCATTTGTACAATTCGTTCCCCTTTGATTCCAGGGTTCGGGGCCGATTCCCTCCCCCCTCCAGCACCCCTGGGGCCAGGCTGGGAGTGGGGCAGGGACCCCTGGGGCTCTCAGCGCTGCCCGGGGCTGGGGGGGCATCAGAGGCTCCCGGAGAGGCTGATCTTGACCAATGAGATGCTCTCGATGGACTTTTGCCGCCCCTTCTCGTAGATGAGGTAGAGGGTGGGGGGCTCCCCGGGGGCGTCCCAGGGCTCCATGACGTCTAGGGAGGAGTAGCCGCTGGGCCCCGCCCAGACCTGCAGGGGGCGCTGCCACCAGGAGATGCCCTTGGCCGAAGTCCAGCGCAGGGTCAGGTTCACGCCTGGGGCGGGGGAGAAAAGGGGGTGAGGGATGCAGAGCCTCCCCCCCCATGTGCCCCCAGTGCAGCCCCCCGCCCCCCATGCAGCTCCCCCAGGACAGGCCCCTGCCCTCCCTCACCCTGCGCCCCCCACAGCGACCCCCCTGCAGCCCAAGCGCCCCACAGGCCCACCCCACCCCCCCACGCACGGTGGGTGTCGTTGGCCGGGTTGCTGAAGAAGACCAGGCCCCCAGTGACCACGGCTCCGGCCGCCACGGCGGGGTCCACCAGGGTGCGGTCAAAGGTCACGTTCTCGGGGGGGAGGGTCTCGCCGGCGTCCCAGCTCCGGGCCAGGATGCGGCAGGGGCAGTGGTAGAAGTTCTGGTTCCGGGCGTTGATCACCAGCGACCCGTCCAGCAGCTCGTAGGGCTGGGGAGGGGGAGGGGGGGGGGTTAACCCGGACGCCTGGGTTCCTTCCGCCCTGCCACCCCCTCGCCATGCACGCCTGGGTCCCATCCCCTCCCTGTCTGAGGAAGGGGCCTGTACTAGATGCCTGGGTCCCATCCCCTCACTGTCTGGGCACTGGGAGCTGGGGGGGGGGGGGTCCTGTCCCGGACGCCTGGGTCCCATCGCCTCTCTGTTTGGGCACAGGGGGGTCCTGTCCCGGACGCCTGGGTCCCATTCCCTCCCTGTCTGGGCCCTGGGGGGTCCCGGCCCGGACGCCTCGGGCCC